AAAGTAATCCAGAACCCTTCAGGTTGTTATTTAATATTAAAAGGTATCCTAGCTTGATGAAATCTTCATACTGGCCACATTTTACTCCACAATGACCAAAACACCTTTCTGGCTTCTTTCCTATAAACCTTACGAGAGATTGCCGAGGGCAATATCATTGCACACAATGTTGATTTATTTATGGTTGTGTTGTATTAGCAGAGATCTCATGCCAAAATGCCAGGCATCCATCCATCAGCCACGTCCGTCTGGAACTGAGTTGAGCTGACCTTATCATGATGGTATGCAGCTCCTTGTAGTTTTAAGCAGTTTGCCATTAATCCAGCCCAGAACAGAGAGTTCTTCATTAGAAGGTTTTTATTCATGATTACATAGTAAAGAGAAAAACGATTTGCATATCTATCATGCAGGTATGAAAAACTTGAACTCACTCACAGAAAACAGTACAATGATTTATAAGAACAAAGGAGGCTCTTAGCCAAAATCCAAACTCCTCCCAGGGGTGGATACCTCCATAGACAATTTGCTGAATAGCCTCTAACCCAGCCTCTTACCCAGCCTCTTGCTGTGAGTCGTGTGTCATGTGATCCTGGTTCCCAGACAACAAAGATGAGCTCATTATTTACATGTTATCTGTCTGTTCCCAGACACTGACCTTATGTAAAATTGTTTACACATTTGCCACCTGCAGGCTCTAACTCTTTTCAATAGAAATTTTCCCACATCTGTACATTTCAACTTTTGACTACATATCCCAACACTCCTAACACACAAAGTCCTAGATTACACACTAGACAATTCACATCCCCCCAGAAAGATGAAACATCACCAGTATCTGACCTCTTAACTAGCCATGGATTTATAGACCCCTGGAGAGATCTACATCCATCCTGTAAAGACTACACTTTTTATTCAAACACAAACCACACCTATTCTATAATAGACTAATCTGTTCTAGAATAGTAAAATTATCCTTTTCTAACATTACTGATATACGGGTAGAGTCTATCATTTATTCAGACCATGCAGTCACAACATTAACTTAGCAGGTTGGACATGATCCCTCAGAGTGTGGTGGAGTCTCCTTGCTTGGAAGTCTTTAAGCAGAGGCTGGATGGCCATCTGTCGGGGATGCTTTAATTGGGAGTTCCTGCATGGCAGGGGGGTTGGACTAGATGGCCCTTGTGGTCTCTTCCAACTCTATAATTCTATGATTTTATGATCTAACAAAAACATGCATCTGGAGATTCAATCTGTATCTCCACATGAATGAATGTTTTCAAAAACAGATTCAAGATGAAATTAAACTATTTTATCTTGAAAATAGATCACTTGAGATATTTGACACCTTGTTATAGGACACCCTGAAGGTGGTCCTCAGAGGCTTATTCATGAAGGAAAGGGCTACACAAAAGATACTCAAAGGATCCATGAGGCAAAGCCTCCTCCAAGAGATAGAAAAGCAATCATTGGCTCATAAAAATATTTCAATTCACAGATATTCATTCAACTCCAGAAGAAAAAAGCAGAGCTGGCAGTTCTTGACAATAGAAAGAGTCAAACTGCCTTACATTACACTAAATCTAACTACTATAAATTTAACAACTAAAATTCTTGACTCCTTGCTAGAGTTGTCAAGCGTAAGGTAGGGAGAAAAAACATATCCACTTTCACTTCCTCTGAAAGTAAAATAGTGAAAGCTCCTGGTTAAATTATGAAAGAATTTCAAAACTTATTCTAAACTATATACATCTGAACTACCACAAAATTTGGACATGGACCAATTTATACAATCTCTAAATCTGAAGAAGCTCAAAGACTCTCATAAATCACTGTTAAACAAACCTATTCACTCAGATGAACTCAAAAAGACAATATTTAAGCTGAAACAGGATAAGAGTCCAGGCCCAGATGGCTTCTCAGATGGCTTTACAAATTGTTATTTGACCAAATTTCACCCCATCTTATTGTCCTTTTTAATTTTTATTCCATTCTCAATAATGTTCCTCTGTCAACAAGTTGGCATAGAACCCAAATAATTCCAATCCCCAAAACCAAAGATAAATATCCAGAAACTAAATCTTTCCATCCTATTGAACGCCTTAATCAATATGTAAAAATATTTGCTTCTATTATGGCCTCCAGTATAAATGAGTTTATTTTAGAATACATTGATCCTGACCAGGTGGGCTTCAGACCAGGCAGACGCTTAGCAGACCCAGTCTGCAGGATATTCAATATCAACCAGTCAAAGACTCCTCTAGCCTTACTTTCCCTTGATGCTTTGAAAGCCTTTGGCCATTTCTTTTTGAGGTCCTTCAAGGAATGGATTTTGGAGATGGCTTCATAGGAGCACTCCACCTTATCTATGAGAAATCAGAGGCAATAGTGTCGGTCAATGGCCTTGACTTAACACATTTTGCACTTTCCAGGGACACCAGACAAGGATGCCCATTGTCACTCCTCCTATTGCACTGACAATAGAGCCCTTGGCTAACAGGATTCAACATAATGCTGATATCACTCACCTTTGCATCAACAACCAACACCATAAGTTTGTGCTTTATGCTGATGCTGTGTTGATTTTTTTAATCATGCCCAGAATTATCATTTCTGCCTCTAAAAAGAACAATTGAGTCCTTTGATAGTTATTCAAGTCTAAAAATTAACTTTAACAAATCCACATTAATGGCTGTAAACACTTCATACCAATAGCAAAACTCCTAGCAGGACCTAATGGGCTTGAAACTTCATCCTTCAGGTTTTTCCTATTTGGGAATAATCATCATGAAAGACATCCAGCAGTTCATACCTGAAATTATAACCCAGTAGACATATGGGTGCTATGTAAATCTAAAGAATGGAAGCCTTTAAATATTTCCATCCTTGGCAGGATTGCATGTTCATGATCCCTCAGTTCTTTTTCCTGGTTTAAACAATCCCATTGAGTCCTCCCCCATCTAGATTCAAGAAATGGCAAAAATTAATTGAGCAATTTATTTTCAATAAAAAGAGACCTAGTTTTCCCAAATCCACTAGACACATCACTTCCAATAATGGTGGTCTGGCAGTCCCAGATATTGTACTATATTTCCAGGCTTTCCAACTCAGCCAAATTATTCAATTAATTAAGGACAACAGTGCTACCAGATGGGTAAATCTAGAAGTTTATAATATGAAGGCCACTGAATTTACTTGCCTCTACACTAAAACTTCAAAACAGAAACTTCAAGGCCTTTGCAGACTGCCAGAAATAGTGCACATTAAATTGAGCCACTGCCCTGGCTTAGTGCTAGGGAGTCATGGGAATTGTATTTTTTTCTGACACATTGAGCCTTCTCTGTCAGAGAGCTCTGGTGCCACAATAAACTACAGTTCCCATGATTCCCTAGCACTGAGCCAGGGCAGTGCCTCAATTTAATGTGCACTATTTCTGGCAGTCTGCAAAGGCCTTTAGTAGGTTATCAAATCCATTTTTATCTAGTTCCCTACTCATCTGGCACAAATGAAAACACATACTAGCTCCAGACCCCTCTCCCATTAACCCCCTTTTTTGCATCCTCTTTCTCACTTAGATGATCAATTCCCATTAATAAGGTTACAGAGAAGATGTGGACTCTACCGCACCTTAAATCTGTTCTCTGGTAGATTACAAAAGCCCACCAACAGCATAAAAAACTTCCCTACAACAAACTAACATTACCTGGCTTCAAGTACACCAAATTCCTTCCTTTACATCACACCCCGATTGTTGGATGGGTTGGATAACTAGAGGCTCTTATATGAATATGTGGATTGAATGTCCTAAAGTGAGAAAATTCTGGGATTCAGTTTTCTATTAAATTTCATGTATGACTGATCAAACTGTAAATTTCTGTCAAAAGTAATTCTAACTAGAAACATAGGAAACTGATGTTTTTTCTTATT